AGTCTTAAGCTCTCTAGCTCCCTTGACAATCCAAATCTCAACAGTTCTTACGTTTATTCGATCACACAAATCTGTATATGGTTATCCTAAATTAAAAGTAAGTCTATTATGATCAACTTAACATGCAAAACTTATTGACGATCACATGTAAAGTGTAAAAAATATTGCATAATTTACAAGTGGGTTAGGCCAGTTTGACCACGGCAATGAATCCATTTCCTAAAATTCAAATCCGAATCTTCCTCTCCATAAATTAGATTAATTTAGACTCTAGTTTGTATAATTGCACGTAATTGTCAGGACTTCATTCATCTCATTTTAAGTTACTGTTAAATAATGCTCTTCTAATTACAGAGTCATAATATAATAACAGTAAACTGAAATTAACTATTATTTTAAATAAAAAAATCCTCACGTGTTTTTCTCCAATTACTCTTTATTCCAAATTTTCTCTTTTTTCTCTCAATTTCCCCAGCAATGACGGGGTTACATGCATAGCGTACCGCAGTGAACCTATTTCCTAAAATCCCCCGCGTCTGCACGAGCTTAAAGTTAGAAGAGATAAATTTTACAAAAATATAAAGGAGTTTATGATGACTTTTTTAGAGTGTCAACAACATTTCCGGTCTTAAAATTGCATTTATATATAATAAAAATTGATGTTTTGTGTTTGCAGATCGGAAAACCTATTTTAACAAATTAAGCAACATCAAAATCTTAATTTTTGTTTATCCAAAAAGTGGCCTATGTTTACCGGTGAAATAAACAATGCCAAGTTTAAATAAACCTGCAAAACATGCATTGTTAACTTTTTTTCTTCTTGAGAATAAGATAACCATCGTTAGATAGAATACGGAGGAGTTGCAGATGAGATATATTTTTGTAGATACAAACTGAACACTTGTTTTCATAGAAGTATGCTGATGATGGATATGTACATAGAATGATGAAAAGTAGAAGACATATGTTGTCTAATAATGGACTGTTCTAAATAAGTGTTGTTTCTTTTTACATCTTTGGATCATATTCTTTGATGCACTCTGACATACAAACTAGATGAAATATGTGACAGAAAGAATCAGATTAAACTACTTGGTATCAAAACTCGAAGAGTATCACCAAAATGCAGCTTGTCTATTCCGGGGAAGCTTCCCTTTTCGTCGGCGATGTTTCCTCTTTGGCATCCTGTGATGGTGATGGTTCCTTTTTGGTATCTGGTGATGGTGATGGTTCCTTTTTGGTATAAGTAGTACTTCTCTTTATAAGATCTCCAAATCTTCGCAGCAACGCTTTCTTCTTCCTTGAGTTTTCAGCTTGAGTCCCATCTAGATGATCATAATCATCTGAATGGAGTGTTTCTCCATCATCTGTGAATGTAAAAGAAGAATTTCTCCGGTGATGCGTAGCTGAGCCTGGCGAATCTACCTCGAATATCGAGCCTTTGAGAGCCTCATCTATTTCAATCTCATGATCATCATCATCAACTTCCTCGTGCATGTTTGAAATTTTGAGCTCCTTGAGATTGAAACTGAAAACTTTGCCAAATAAGCCTCCATTTTGAGATGCTGCAGCCTCCTTATCCTCCTTTGATGATGTTTTCTCTTTATCTTCCTTTTTGGCGTCCCCTGACAATGGTGGTTTCTCTTTACCAGCATCCTCCTTTTTTAACTCCTTCGGTGGTTTTTTCTCCTTGACCTCCTTCTTCACTTCCTTTGAAGATAGTTTGTCCTTAGCCTCCTTTTTCGACTCCTTATCCTTTGATGGTGTTTTCTCCTTCTCCTCTTTCTTGCCCTCCTTTTCCTTCGATGCTGTTTTCTCTTTCTCCTCTTTCTTACCATCCTTTTCCTTTGATGGCGATTTCTCTTTCTCCTCCTTCTTCGATGATTCAATGAGCAACCGCTTTAACTCCTTAATGTTTTCATGAGCTGCAATTTCATTTACCCTATAATTTTCGTTTTCACAGGCAAGGAAATTCAAGGCATCCTCCTTTTCAGTCAGGGTATCTTTCAGCTGAGAATTTTCGGCTTGAGCAATGGCTGTAGCTCCTTTTGCAACATTTGCTTCATTTAAGGCCTGTTTAAGTATGTCTCGCAACTTGCTATTTTCTTCCTTTGATACCATGGCCCTGTTATCCGTCTCCAGAAGCAACTCATGCAATCTAAAGTTCTCTTGCTGTGCAGCATATCTATCTTCTTCAGCTCTTCTAATGCAATCAACAAAACCAGTTTCTTTCCCGCTCCATGCCAAAACTGACTCCTCGTGTTCTATTTTCAACCTGGCAGCAGTATTTTTGTACCTCTCAGCTTCTTTCTTTGCTTCATCCAATAGTGCTTTATAACTTTCCTCACTGCTCTTTAACATCGAATTCAAGCATTCTTCTTGTGATCTTGAGTGCTCTAACTCTGCTTGGGTCACGCAGAGTTTATCTTTCAACTGGTTGGCTTCTGTTGCAACTTCTTTCAGTGCAAAAGCCAAGTCATCCATTGCCTTCTTTCCGTTTTCTTCAGCTTCCGCTGTCAACTTCAGTTCACGTTTAAGCACTCCCATCTCCTCAAGTAATTTCTGAGCCTTGGATGAAGCAAGTTGCTCCTTCTTTAGGGCATCAACCAGACTCTCCTTTGTTAGCTGAATCTCAGACTTTAGACTCTCTAATTCCTCCTTCTTGGAAAGATTATTTTCGAGGTGATCATGATAATGAGACGTACTACGCTCTTGACTATTTTGAGCAGATTCATCTTCCCCTTTCTCCAATTTGTTTTGAATCGAAGCAATCTCAAACTTTGCCTCTTCAAGCAAAACCTTGGTTTGTTCAAGTTGGTTTGTCTGGGTGATCAATGAATCAAGAATTCTAGCTTCTGATTGCTTTCTCTTCTCTATTTCCATCTCCAACTCCCGGATTCTCTCGTCACTTTCGGACAATAAAGCCTTCGTGTCAGCCTCAGAGGTTTCCACACTCTCTGCCAGTTTGAGCTCCAATTCCCGAATTATTCCTTCCCCTTCGGACAATAAAGCTTTGGTGTGAGCGTCAGAGGTTTTCACATTCTCTGCCAGTTCATGCTCCAATTCCTGAATTCTTCCTTCACTCTCAGACAATAAAGTCTTTGTGTGAGCCTCTGCCTCAGAGGACTTCATAACCTCTGCCAGTTTGAGCTCCAATTCCTGAATTCTTACTTCCCTTTCAGACAATAAAGCCTTGGTGTGAGCCTCTGAGGTTTCCACCTTCTCTGCCAGTTTGAGCTCCAATTCCTGAATTCTTCCTTCCCTTTCAGACAATAAAGCCTTGGTGCGAGCCTCTGAGGTTTCCACCTTCTCTGCCAGATTGAGCTCCAATTCCTGAATTCTTCCTTCCCTTTCAGACAATAAAGCCTTGGTGTGAGGCTCGGAGGTTTCCACCTTCTCTGCCAGTTTGAGCTCCAAATCCCGAACTTTTTTTTCGCTTGCAAACAACAAAGCCTTTGTGTGAGCCTCTGCCTCAGAGGACTTCAAATTCTCTGCCAGTTTGACCTCCAATTCCCGAATTCTTTTTTTACTTTCAGCTAACAAGGCCTTTGTCTGAGCCTCGGAGTTTTTTGCATTATCTGCTTTGAGCTCCAATTCACGAATTCGTTCTGCGCCTTGAGACAGCAAAGTCTGTGTGTGAACCTCGGAGGTTTTCGCATTCTTTGCCAGTTTGAGCTCCACATCTTTGGCCTTTCCAAGTTCAAGTTTCAAAGACTCAATATTCTCCTCTTTACTCTTCAAATTTTGCCTTGCATCAGACAATAAATCCTTCACCGAATTCAATTCCGAATGCACCCCATCTCCCTCCTGAGTTGACAATTCTTCACTAAGCCTCATGTTGGCCTCATCTGCCACCTTTTTCATCTCTCTCTGTTCATCAACTGCTCGATCTCTTTGTAGCTCCATTGTCTGCAGTTGCTCCTTCAGCTCCTCTTCAGGTTGCTCCATTATTTGTTGCTGCATCTCCGAAGCTCCAGCGATCTGTTTCTACCATGAACACACAAAACACCCATCACCAAACAAATTAAAATCCAATGCAAAAAAACCATCAAAGAAAAATATAAAAAATTGGCATGGTCAATCCAATCCCTTAGAATCCTTTAAAACAGTTATGAAGATGGATATTGACTTTGAAAAAAGTTCCATACGAATAAAAACCCTGTTCTCAATCAAAGCAAAAACTATGAAACGGGATCAATACCACATGCAAATTTGTAGCTTAGAGGGCTTTCTTGAGGACTTCAATGCAGAGCAGAGATGGTCTTGAATTTCATATGACCAAAGAAAGCTTCTTTGGTTGAATTTCAAAAGATCCAGATCAGAAAACCAGTAATATTTCACAGATTGAACGTCAAAGGCAAGAATTAACGAATTAAGGAAGTTGAGAAAAGCAATGAAACAGTAACCCAACAACGTTAAAAGCCTAATGAATGAGAATAACACAAAAGAAAGATATAATTAATACAGAAAAAAGCATTGGAATTTTCAAGGAAAAAGAAAAGTACCTTAGGCTCGGTCTGGAGGTGCCATGTTTGATTATGGTGAAGAACGTTGTTGGGACAGGGGATTTTCTATTTTGGGAAAGTCACTAAAATGATTTTGGTGGAAAAGTCCGAGGTTGGCGGTTTTTCCACTGAAGGGAACCTATTTGGCGGGTGTTGGAAGGAAGCAATCTAATAAGTGGATTGATTGAATTTGACAAAATTGACATTCCACACATAATATTCCAAGTTTCCAACGGTCCAACCTATGACTGCCTCTGCCTCTGCCTCTGGTCGGCTGCCTGCCATAGTCGTTGGAGACTGTTGTGTTCAAATTTGCCAATCAACAACTCGGGCTTACACTGTTTTTGGGCCTGAAAATGAATTTACATTATTCACCTATCTTTGCAAGCTCCAAATTTAGCAAGGGCTGGCCTGTTCTTTCTTTTTTACTTTTTTACTTTTCGACATTTTTATATTTCTTCATCAATATCAGTACACCTGGTGGCAAAATTGAAGCATGCCAAAGCCTCAGGGCATTGAGCTTGCAGGACTTTCATTACAGAAGTTTAACATACATTTTACATGAAAGGTGGTGTTTGGGGGGCTGCTGTGGCTCTGCCCCTGGATAAAAACCAATGCATCCCATACCATAGGTCAGTAAGAACAGCTCCACGGAACACCGATCTCTGCAAAATCATCCACTGCCATGTGTAGACTGATCCTTTTGAGCATCAAATGAATCTTATCAATATCTGGATGAGATATATCCCCTCCCAGGAAAATGTGCACCTTATTTCCAATCTCTGTCCAGCTGTGCGCATGTTGCTTCTTAACTCCATGCTCTTTCATCAGAGTTCTCAATCTTGCAACATCTCTCCACTTTCCGGCAGTTGCGTATATATTAGACAACGAAACATAAGGCCCAGAACTATGAGGATTTAGATCTAATATTTTCTTGGCAGCTAGTTCCCCTATTTGCACGTTTACATAAACACTGCAAGATGCAAGAAGAGAACCCCATATCTGACAGTCTCCGTCAAATGGCATCTCTTGGATTATCTTGCAAGCCTTCTCTAACTGACCTGCTCGACCCAAAATATCAACCAAGCAAGCATAATGGTCCGATCTAGGGGCAATACCATAATTACTAACCATTGCCTCAAACAAATCAATGCTTTCATTCACCTTCCCCGCATGAGCACAAGCAGATAACAGACTAAGAAATGTTATACCATCTGGCTGAAAGCCAAGCAACCCCATCTGGTTGAAAAAGGCAAGAGCTCTCTCGTAGAGACCATGCTGTGTAAATGCAGCAACAATGGTGTTCCATGAGACAAGGTCTGGACTCTCAATTTGTTTGAACGCTAACTCAGAATCAAGGATTGCACCACATTTGCTGTACATGGTAATCAAAGCATTACATATGGATAAATTTGATTCATATCCATGTTTGATAATGAGTACGTGAGTTTGTCTCCCTTCTTTAAGTAATGCAAGACTAGAACAGGCGGTAAGAACCGAAACAAGGGTCCATTTATCTGGACGCAAACCAATCTTGAGCTTCTGTGAATGTAACTTCAAAGCTTCCTCTCCGCTGCCATTTTGTGTGTAGCCTGTAAACAGAAACAGGCATGTGAAGGGACTAGGGAAAGCTATCTCATGCTCAGAATATTGTCAAGCACTATAGTACCATCAACAAGATTTTGTTTGATTTACTAAGTTCTGCAAGCACAAACAAGTTTAGGTTTTGGAAAATTAGAAGCACAGAAGCAAAAATTCAGCCAATTTTGAAGTGTAACCTCGTCAAGTTGTCATTTATGTCATGAGCACAAGTTCAGTTATCCACTAAGCAGTTAAAGGTTTCTTTTATGGATGAGTGAATTGCAGTTGGCATACCTGTTATCATTGCATTCCAGGAGACATGATCCTTACACTGAATTTGATCAAATAAAGTTCTCGCCTCCTCCATCTTCCCCTCCTTAGAGTACCCTGTGACCATAGCGGTCATTGCAATCACATTTTTCTCTGGCATCTGCTCGTACAATTCCCTTGCTTCATCCAACTTCCCATTCTCCACATACCCACTGATCAGCACGGTCCAAGAAACGGCATTCTTATTGGGCATGCAATCAAAAAGTGCTCTTGCCCGCTCTAGGTCTCCTTTCTTTGCATACCCATCAATCATTGCCGTATAAGAAATAACATTCCTCCTCGGCATCTCTTCAAAAAGCCTACTAGCTTCCTCCAGCCGATCATATTTCACATAACCTGATATCATAGCATTCCAAGAAGCAATATTTCTCTCCGGCATCGACCGAAAGTACCTAAAAGCCTCATCAACCATCTCATTTTCGAAACACCCCGCTATCATGGAATTCCAGGACACCACATTCCTAGTAGGCATCAATTCGAACAGTCTCTTTGATTCTCCAAAATACCCATTTTTCCGGTACCCAGTAACAATAGCATTCCATGTAACAACGTCTTTCGTGGGCATTTCATCAAACAATTGGCGGGCGGCTTCAATCTTACCCGCTCTTGATAAGGCACCAATCTTGACGTTGCAAACATATACATCTTGGGTTGAGAAAAGCTTAAACTGTGGAGAAAGCAAGCAGCGGAAAATGTAACAAGCACCTGAAATGAGATTGGCAGGGACCGGAGTTCGAAGAATAAGTCGCATTATTAGCCCAAATATATATCAGCATCATTACTTGTTGAAACCTAGTCACAGTGCAAGCAAATCCAGCTACTATGTAGGCTCTACTCTAGATTTATGCTCATTTTCTCTTTCTGGGACTTACCAGGTCTAAGCAAACCCCAGCATATTCTCGTCTAGTGCTACGGAGTAACTAAAAGCCTCCACTGGTCTAAACTACAACAAAAGACGATGGCAGACAAACCATCACTTGTCCAGTGCTGCGGAGCGGGGCATCTGGCCTTTTTGGGTCTCTGTACTGAGTTTTCACAAATATTATGTCGCTTTTAAACCATATTCAATATAAGGCTGTATTTGTAGAAGAAAACGAACAAATCTCTTATAACCCTAAAACCAACATCAGAGAACACAACACACAGACCGAGACATTAATGGGGAAAGAAGCTCAAGACGCATTTGTTGTTTCAATGGCTATTGACAAAGTTGAACGCGGATACCAGATAACGTATCACATTCATAAACAACATCTTAACAATTTTAACGAATCATCAAATCATCCAGATCCACATAACAAATACAAACTTAGGACTAAATTAGATGAAATATTGTTCAATACCACATTAGTGAGGCTGCAGACAACCAAAATAACAGAAACACAATTAAGCGTGGACCAACAAATTGAAGGTTCCTCAATCAAAGAAACAAAACACCCAAAAGCACATCAATTCATAAGAGTGTTTGCCTATAAGGATATTCACTACAAGCTTGTACCTACCACCTATCTATCTGATCTGACTTAATAATAACAGTACCAAACAAAACACCTTCCTTCCTATCCCAATTAAGCATTTTACATATCAACCCCATCCATCTGCAGCCACCACACAACCAACCCCTCATCTTCATTGCAGAGGCAGGTCACTTAAGCCCGTTCACCCCTGATCCTCCTAGCCAGCTGGATATCCTTCGGCATGATGGTAACACGCTTGGCATGGATGGCACAAAGGTTGGTGTCCTCAAACAGACCCACAAGGTAAGCCTCAGCTGCCTCCTGCAGTGCGAGCACCGCATGGCTCTGGAAACGCAGATCAGTCTGCAAAAACACACTGATCAACACAGCATTCATGAACAGATCATCAACAACAATCTGACATAATTTTGGAAACAATAAATATACCTTGAAGTCCTGGGCAATTTCACGAACAAGCCTCTGGAATGGCAACTTCCTGATCAGGAGCTCAGTACTCTTCTGGTACTTACGAATTTCACTGCACAAACATTCCAAATAAAACAGAATTTAGACCACAGCCTATGGCCATAAAGACCAAAACTTGGAAAACTGTAAAAGAGATCAATCACTCACCGAAGAGCAACAGTACCAGGGCGGTATCTGTGGGGCTTCTTGACTCCTCCAGTGGTTGGTGCAGACTTACGGGCAGCCTATAACACAGAAAGAAAAAAAAAATTAACAACTGCAAACAACCTACGACACAATTTCAAGAAAAGAAATTAGACCACTGCAAAGTTTACAAGCACCAACCTTGGTAGCGAGCTGCTTCCTTGGAGCCTTTCCTCCAGTTGACTTACGAGCAGTTTGCTTTGTACGGGCCATCTGAACACATAACAGAAAAGAAAATTAACATTTGTTCTAGCACACAATTAAACCTTTTGTTGGCAAAAATATAAGACGACAGGAAAAGAAGTATTTCTTTTAGAAAATAATTTCAGAAACGTTAACAACGATGGATATTGCCCAAATGATAGAAAAGTGAATATATAGAATCTGCATAAACCCAGTTCATAACATTCAGGTCTTTTCATAAACCCTAATTAAAAACTAAACTAAAATTCAGGAGCCCTAATTATTGACATCGAAATGGAATAACGACGCAAGATCATAAATCCTTACATGAAATACCATAAGCACCGGAAAATCCCAAATCTTTACAATGAAACACCCTAAACAACGGAAAACCCTAAATCTTCACATTGAAATACCATGAAAAATGGGAGAAATCCTTAAATCCCAACTATGAAATGGAAAAAGCAACGGAAAACCCTAATCAAAATTATTTGCCATTACACCACCAAAAACCCTAAATCAAGATCACAGACATAGGCAAGCTGAGTAGGAACGAAAAGCAAACCCTTATTTACCTTCAGAAATAAATAAATAAAACTTTTGAAAAATTAAACGAAAGTCATACCTCTGTGTTCTTCGCGCTCTGTCTCTCTTTACTCTGTCTCTCTCTCTCTAAAGATTTGAACGTACAAGAGGCTAAGGAATATATATAGCGTGTGACTCAAAACGGTCTGGGGGATCGGACGGATGAGATCCACTATCCGTGTGTTTTCTCTTTGTGGTATCTAACGGTGATGGAGGGGCTTAGTTGTGTTTTCTCAGTTTAAGTGCACGGTCGCGATGGGTTGTTGGGGTGGTGACGCGGATCGCTACGGACTAACACAGGCTTCCTATTGGCCGAGAAAAACAATTGGTTACAAATGGGAAACGGACCAAACGGAGGTTGCGTAATTGGGATGGTAAAACGTTATTACGGGAGAAATTTTTCATTTTTTTAAATCGTAATGCTATGTGAACTTTACTCTTGAGCGTGCAAACAATTTTATTTTTATTTTTTTCTAATCAGATCTGGATTTTTAACTAGGGGTGGTTGCAGTTTGGTAACCGCGAATTTTTGTCCAAATTGCAAACCGACCATTTTTGGCAGTTTACCGCAACAATTTTATTTTTATTTTTTTCTAATCAGATCTGGATTCTTAACTAAGGGTGGTTGCGATTCGGTAACCGCGAATTTTTGCCCAAATCGCAAACCGACCGTTTTTTGTGGCCGCAAAAAGCGGTCGGTTACCGTAAATTAGCGGTTTAAAACTGCAAGTTCTTTTTGTGTCATAAAAATCTAATCTTCACATTTTATGCCTAATTTTGATGCTTCTTTTGAAGCTTTTTTATTTCAAACATACTTTAACCCAAAAATATAAATTCACAGCCTCAACTTCTCAAGCATATATAAATTCGCAACCTCCTCAACTTCCCAAGTATTCACAACCTAAAGAAGATTAAAGTTACAATTCCAAGCATTCCAATTAAAGTTAAACTTCTCAAGCATTCCAATTACAAATCATTTAAAGTTACAAACCAAAAGGAAAATGCAATGCAAAATGAATTAAAGTTACAACCCAAAATGCAATGTACCAATGTTACAAATTAAAGTTACAAACTAAAGGGAAAATGCAATGCATTAATGTTACAAATTAAGGTTATAAATTCAAGTGTTGGTGGTGGTGAGTGGATTTGAAGGACTCCGTTGTGTTGTTTAAGCACAAATGCTATTTACAAAATGCAATTTATATATATATATAGTCGCGGTTTGCGGTAACAGCAAGTTTTGAAAATCAAATACCGTAACCCAACCGCAACCGCAAATGCGGTTCGATTCTTCATATCGCAAATGCAGTTCGGTTTCCCGCGATTGCAGTTCCATTGCTGTAAATTGTCGGTTGGTTTTTGCCCTTTTTTTGTCTAAAATGTCACCCATATTCTTAACCCATGCCATTAGATTTTTGGCTGATTTTTTTTTTTTTTTGGTTAAAAAAAAGGTGGTAGGAGTGTCACCTCTCCGACCCGAGCACGGGTTAAGGAAAAGTTCTCCCCAAGAGGTTCATTACACATGCGGAGGATCGAACTCGAGACTTCATTGAGGAGCCCAATCACATTCGCCCAACATGTGTGGCCTAGCCCGTTCAATTTTCCACTAGACCAAACTCACTTGGGTAAAACTTTTTTATTTAACAGATTCCTATACATTGAGTTTGAGAATTTACATGTAAAATCATGTGTTTGACATTTTCTATATGACAATTGATGAAAATAATTGATGAAATTTTTTTTTTTTTTCTATACAAATGATATTGGGGGAGCAAGTCAAGTTCATTTCATATATTTTTATTTCTCAAGCATGCATTGTCAAGGTGCTAAGAGCACTTTCAGCGCGCAGAGCTAGCCCAGGCAAGAGGGGCACGAGGCCCATTTTGTGATTCTAGCCTCCAAATGCATCTTGGGCAAGGTGTGGGGCCTACCAACCTAGGCATGCCCACAGGAAAATCCAACATGTGTTGTTGCCTGAGCAAGTGACGTAATGCTGACATCATAATGACGTCATTAGCCAATTAAAATAATTTTAAAAATTGAAAAAAAAAACCCCAAAATTCAAAATTATATATATATATATATACCTAACCATATTCTTTACTTCTCACGCCAAAACCATAAACCCTATCAAAATTAATCGTTTATGTATAAAAAAATAAAATAATTTAAAGTGAATAGTAATTGTCATTTGCTATGGCAATGGGTGGAAACACACTTTGACTTTTGCAATGCTAGCACTATTCATGTGAATAGTAATAGCCCTTGCCTCCCCTTGCTCTTTGACATGACAAATAGATGGAAGTGCTCTAAAGGGATTTAAACTTGAGACTATTAGTCCACAAGTCAAGTTCATTTTTCATTGGACTAGACCATGTAGGTAACTTGGCATAATTAGAGTCTTTTTTTTGGAACACAACAATGTTACATGTTGCAACCCTTTTCTCTTGCCTTCAACCCAAAGCAAGGCCCAAAAGTCAGCTTGGGAGAGACCTACTAGTCAAATCCCCACATCATTGAAGGGCAAATTCGGAAGCAACAAAGACTAATTGTTGGATTGGAAAGTTGAGAACACGGTTAGCAAAATCAATTTCTTCTAAGTAAAAGATTCACTAATGTAGTGGTTTGGAGTAATTGCACCCCACAAGTAAGCTCCTCAGTTCGAGAAATTATAGAATGGTACGGTATCACCACATCAGCTGGTAATACTCCCATTCAAAATCTACCACTTGTCTATTTTTATTTTTAAAAGTTGAAACTAATTACAGCTGGACATGAAATTATACTTTTACCCTTTCAAATAAAATCTATAAAATAATAAATAAAAAAGAATGAGTCACCCAAACTATCTCCTTCACTCTTTCACTCTCTCTCTCTTCTTCCCTACATCTCTTTGTCCTCTCTCGATAACATATGAGAAAACTTGAGACTTTTTAATTGAATATGCAGATCTCATTCAATTGAAT